CACTAAGAAAAACAGGACTTCTGCTGTACACCCACCAAAAGTACATTACCTGAACTACACTGTGAAGAAAATTTATTCAAACTCATATTAACTGGCATAGATTCTTCAAAAATTAAACACAAAGAACTGAGGACATAGCCATGCACGATGGTGCATGCCTATAATCCCAGCAACTCAATGAGACCCTAAGCAATTCAGGTAGAACTTTACATTTAAAAAGGAGGGGGAGGGGGCTGAGGGGGATGTGGCTCGGTGGTTAAATGCCAAGGGTTCAATCCCCAGTACCAAAAACAAACAGCAACAACAAAACCTGAGGACCTTTAATGCTCCACATTAAAGGAGTCTTAATATGTATGTATGAGACAAGTGAATGCAACATACAAACTTCTCACTTGTTATTAAGGTTTTTCTTTACTATCAAGGAAAAATTATGGGATAGATAGTAAAATCTGAATAAGAAGTAAATCATCATTACTAGTACATTGATGCTAATTTTATGATTTTGATAACTTTATGTAAGGAAATGTTCTTGCTTTTAGAAAATACAATGATTTATTTAGGGCTAAAGGAATATCATGTCAGCTTACTCTTGGATTGTTCAGGAAAAAATTTTGAAAAGAATAAATGTTGTAAAATGCCCCAACATTTGATCAGTATAGATGAAAGGTACATGGAGATTCCATGTATTATTCTTTTAATTTTTCTATAACAAACTGTGTCAAAACATAAAGTTAAAATATTTACTTGGGTTTTACAGAGAACTCTACTTACTAGTCTGAAGTGAAACCTATCTACACTAACCTACACTAAAGCCAAGGACTCTATGGAGATTAAGCAGCAGCAGTAATTCTAGGGGGCATTTCAGGGCAGGTAACATTAGTGTTATCTACTGCAATGAAAAAATATTAGACATTTTCCTGATGAAACATACAATCAACAATGAAAATTATCTTTTAGCATTAAATAACTTTATACTGAGTTGTATAAGGCAAAAATTCCTAAAGGGAGAAACGAGTTTAAGTCCACTAGAACAAAAGTTTCATTAAAATTTCTATTCTGTTATATTAACCAGCACCTTAGAGTGGCTGGCATTCAGTGATCACTCAATTAAAAGATTTTGACCCACTTTTTTTTTTTTAACACAGACCTACAGGTTATAATCATTATGAAGGGGAAACCATAGTTTCCCAATATCTATTCAACACATTAAACTAAATAAATGCTGAATGACTAAATAGTGGGATACTTTGATACTTGTGGAAAACTGAGTGATAAGAAACTTCTGTTGGTGGGTCAGAACTTGGTGTGGGGACTAGGGCTAGGGCTTGGTAGTACAGCACTTGCCTCCCCCGAATGAGGCACTGGGTTCGAATCTCAGCACCATATAAAAATAAATAGATATTGTGTCCATCTACAACTAAAAAAATTTTGAAAAAAAAACTTGGTGTGGGATGAAAAAGGAATGTGCATATTTCCTCCACATTTTTTTTAATAAATTTGAAACCTAACTTGGACATTTGGTTAAAGTGGATATAAACTCTTCTGCTCCACAAAACAAAGTGCTCATGTTATTGCAGATAACAGATTGTCATGAATTGTGTGAACTTAAATAGGCAACTAGTCTTGCATTCTAATTATTGCTCCCACCTCCCTCACCATAAAAGAAAAGCTCAACTGAATAAACCAACAGTCCCCACCCCCACCAAAAAAAAAAAAAAAAAAAACCCCATAGGGAATCTATCCAAAACCAGCATCATCACTTTTGGCAGAAGGATGCTAAGTGGCAAGATACTAAGATATTATTATTCTTATATTAAAATATTATTATAATATTATATAAAATACAATTATTTTATGTTAGAGTAAAAACTAGAAATTAAATTAATCAAGTACAATGAAACAATGGAGGCTTTAGAAAGAAATATTTATTATCAAGGTGGCCAACTATTATTAAAAACTTTTGCTAATTCTTATAGGGCCTCGTTACCATGGCATTTTTTTAAAACTGCAGACTGTGACTGTCTAGATGCTGAGGACTGAGATGGAAGGAAAGAAGGAACAGGCAGGCATAGAAAATCTCAGAGCACACTGTATATGGTAACACTTGAGTATAGATTAATGAACCTTTTGTTTTGGTATATACGTGAATATATAAACTGACCCACAAAATAAAATTTTTTGATTGTAGGTTGCAATAAGAAAAGGGGCTTTGTGCTTTTCAGTAGAATTTAGACTCACCTATGTATAGATTTAGTGGCATTTCATTCAGGTACATTTCATTGTCAAACTCAACAACAACAAAAAATGACAATGTTATTCTAAGCTCTGCTTTTAGGCATGATTGCTCTTTAGATATTTCTCCAGAAGTAAAATTCACTGCCATTTGAAACATTAAAAGTTACTTGAGAAACAACATGCAATACAGCCACTCAATAACTTAGAAATGGTAGAAATATTCTTTATTTGCATTCTCTATAATAATAACTGCTAACCACATACACTGAGTACTTTAAAATGTGGCTGGTATGAATGAGAAACTGGTGAACTTTATTACACTTAAATAGCCACATGTGGATGGAAACCAATGTAGAGACGCATGCTTTATTACATCCCACAACGTGTAGCTAGATCACAGGGATCATTGTCTAAATCACTTGGGGGCTGACTTAGGCATGAGTCAGAATAGCTAGCCGACTCATGTGCTAACTAAAGGCATTGATCAAAAGGACTGGTTTTCAAAGCGCATATCACCACTGAGTTCTACCATACCAATGGAAATTTATGGAACACTTTGAAACAATCGCTGGTGGGTGTTTCTGGCATTATTGGGGATGAATATACAAACAAACCTAAAACTGGAAAGCTGGTGTCCCAAATGACATGCAAATAAATATCTCACCTGAAATTTATGTATTTTTAAAGAATTTATTTATTAACACTGAAAACTTGAGTCTCATTCCATTACCTAACATGAAGTATTTTTGCAAGTGTACTCTGAATGTTCCAAGAATATCACATGTAAATTGAGTAAAGATTTTTTCCTAGAGTAACTTATTTAATAGCCTTCATTTAAGAGTTGTCACATTGACACTGAAGTGTTAAGTCAAATTGTCCCACTATTATGTAGCTATGTTTAAAGTATTTTATTAAAAACCACTTCCCTGTTATTTCATTCTATCATTATTATCTCCATTCTCTAGGGATATTTTTTTTCCTTAAAAAAAAAAAAGTAGGTAATAAGTCACATTATTCCTGAATTTCACTTCAAAATATCAGCATGTGCTATACTGCTTATGTTTTTACCTATTAGGCGGATCTGAGACTTAACTAATTTTAAAGATTTATCCATCCACTGCCATTTCTGTAGATCAGGAAACCTTAATTTGAGAATACAAGGCTCCTCAGTCTTAGAATCAATTCATGAAGTGGCTTCAGATTTACAGAACTTGTAAAATAAAACAATTTGATACATGTATATCATTATCAATCATCAATCATGGTATAGCCACCCTTGGGGGAATAACTTTCATTTCACTAAAAACTATCATATTAAAAACCATACATCCCCCAAGACTGCATAAATTAGGCTGGATTATAAACTTTGACCTCAAAATGTGGTTGACTCCCCATCCTATTGCATTTATGAAAATGCAATTTGTATTATTTCTACCAATGCTGATAACTTTTAAGAAAACAATCTCATGCAAGTTAGATGTTACTACATTGTTTACACTATAGGTGTTATTTTATGGAAATTTATGGAAGAAGGCAAACACCCATTAAACAAATATTTGCTATGTAACAGGTACTAAGCTATTCTCTCTACATTCAGAACTCAAGTCTCACAACCGCCCTCTGATACAGGTATCACTCCTTATTTCACAGATGAGGAAACCAGCAGAACTCAACTACCTTAACTAAGTTTATATAGCTAATAGATGTCAGAATTTGAACTTTGGCTAATTTGCCTCCAAAGTACATGTACAATTTTCTGGAACAAGTGGAGATTTTTTTTTACCCCCCCCCCTTTTTTTAATCTTACTGTGAAATATCTACTGGATCTTGTCTTTCTTTGGCATAGCCAAAGCTTACTTAAGGCAAAAACTACTTAAGGCCATCCTACAAATGGCAGTTGTACAATTAACATCTTTGAGTGAACTGCTTCACCAAAGCAGGCTTCGTGGAATGCATTTTGCTTGATAACCTTAACTTTTTTCATTCTCCCCAGTTCTTTCATTCCTGCCCACCGCCTCCCTGCAATAAGGAACCAATAAATGCATACCACATGCTACTCTAGGTAATAAAGAAAATATATTAAAAAGACAGGCCTACAAAGTAAATACATCTTTGATGGATAATTCAGAAACCACTTGAAATCATTCTTATCATTAAAACACCAATTATTAACTATGATACCAAGCACATAAGCTTCAATATTTTCCACTTTGAGAAAACTCTTTATCTGCTTTCTAAGAGCACAATAAGAACACCTAACAAACATGTGCTCATAAACAGTGAGCACATTTAAGGGCACAGGGAATAGTGGGGAAATAGCTGGGATATCATTTAGGGTAAGAATCCAGTTAGGGATAATTAGAAATTTTTGAGAAACTGAAGTGGACTTGGAGACATCATCTCAGCAGAAGATAATATCGAGTAGGTAAGGATGCAAATCACACTCATTTAATAAAGCCCTTTTTGGTAGGAATGGGATCATAGGTTTAGTAGAAGTAAAAAGAAAATGGAAAGATAAAGAACATTCAAATTTTATTTCGTTTGAGTGCTAGGGACTGAACCCAGGGCTTCCAACCAGGTTAAATCCAGTCTTGGTTATTTGTGTTTTGCCAAAAACACAATTACTACAGAATATTTACAATTAATAAAGTTTTTTCTATAAGGAGCAAGAAAGCATCTTGGGCTTTGTGGCCAGTCTGCTATAATTAGCCAACTCTGCCACTGTAGGACAAGAACAGCCTATAGACACATATAAACGAGTGAGGCCATATTCAAATAAAACTTTATTTATGAAACAGACTTGGGCACTGACTGTAATTAGTAGACCCCTGAAGCAAAGATCCAGTAGGTAAGGAGAATCAGACCTATGAACAGGAGGAAGTTGATGGTTAAGGAAAGAGATTTGGAAATCACTGGCACAAGCAAAATGTCAGGATAAATAACACAAGGACAGCAGATTGGAAATATGAACATGTGAAGATAGAACCCTTATAAAAGCAACACTTCAAAAAGCATGAAGAGGAGGTAAAGAATTAGTGGTTTTCTGAAAGAAAAAAAAAGTGCACAAAATAACTGATATATCCTAAGTATCATTTTAGCTGCATTACAAAACTCTTACAAGTGCAGGACACCACAATATTTAGCCATGGTTAGTATCTAAAAGGCAGTGCTAAAAAACAATAGCCTCCAAGGTATACATAATATGCTTAACAGTTTGCCATAAAGAGATAATGCAAAGCTGAGACAAATTTCATGACTCATGTTTCATATGGAGAATCTTACACACCAAAACACAATGTCAGGCTCCATGCACAAACCATTCAAAACTGAGTCAAAGGGTGAAGACAAAAAATAAAATAGAAAAACAATGCCCCTAAAAACAAATGAAATGACAAGGGAAACTGCTTATGATAATAAAGGTATGTTTAGGTAACACTCTCAGTAAATTGTGAAGTTAAACTCACTATAAGGTTTAAAATAAAACTAGCTCCAATGTCCCTAATTTTTGGTTCTAGCTTTTTCAACATTTACTAGTCTAAAATGAAAGTAGCTAGCTCATGGCTTATCGTTGAGAAACAATACAATCTAGCAAATAAACTATCTTACTTGTATTTATAACCATGTTGGCTCATTAGAAGAAAATAAAGAAATGATTATCCAATCAGAAAAATATCACAAGAAACAAAATTACAAAACTTACAAAGCTGCTTTGTAGAACACAATGACTAACAGATGATAGTCTGTGTATGTGGACTAGAATGGTCTGGGTGTCAAATGGGTAGAAAATAAGTGCCACTTAGTACTGCTAAAGAAAAACAAATTGTTTTTCATTAAGCTTAGTGTACAAAGATAGGATTACATCTTAACAATGAGGGTCTGTGAAGGCAAAAATACCAAAAGGAAGGAAAGGGAGAAGGAAGGGAGGAAGAAAGGAGTCAGTCCACCCATAAAGAATACATCCATATAATGGAACATGTGGAACAATAAAAATAATGCATTTTGCATGCACTATGACAAAAATGTCCAAAATTATTAAATGACAAAACAATGCTAGTGACTTTTGTGTCTAAAAAATCTATACATGTGTGCACATACACTCATCTGATATGCACAGAAAATCTCTATAGACATAAATTTATAAGAAATTTGAGTGGTACCTTGAAAAAGAAGAGTGAGATTGAAGGAGACAGGAATGTTTCACCTTCTACCCTTCTGTAGGGAAGAAAAATAAAATAGGCATGTGTTATGTTTGATCAAACATTAAAGAAAAAAATCACGGATCAGTATTTTGGGAAGGTGGCTGGATAAAGGACTGCTACCTCTAAAAAAAAAATCACACTAATGCAGACAAAATTACACAGAAAATACAACAATATGATCAAAAAAGTTAAGTTAAACAAATGTTAAAATTTTTAAATGTCATCACATAATTTTTAAAAAACTTTACTTGGACAATCACCTAGTTTAGTCATAAAAAGTAGAAACTAGGTCTTGCAAAAGCAGTAATTTGCACACACAGGTTTGTTGGAATCCCATGGTGATCCATCTAGATTCAAGATTAGAGCTGAAAAGTCAGCTTCATTTTACATGTACCTCTAGATTACATAACCTCCAGGAATATAAATTCTACTACTATTTCAGGAACAAAAGCTATTTGTATAACTTTATAAAAGAAACACTCATTTTGAATCTGCTTTTAAATTTTCTTAGAGCAGGGACCCAGTCATTCTGTTCTACCTCTATGTTCAGCATCAAGAACAAAGTATTCTCTTCTCATATAAAACACATATATGTAATATACAAATGTGTAAAAAACAATTTTTTCTTTTTGCCAGAAAGAAGGCAGGGAAATAGCTTCTGTGCAAAACTATGAGGAATTACAAGGTCTAAAAAAATAAAGGGGAAAAATTAATGTGAAAAATTGGTTCCTCTGAATTTCATGTTACCATATGCCTATAATTTCATTCTTTGCTTCCACCAGTGGAAAAAATAATTACAAGAAAACAGGTCTAAAACTACTCTATGTAACAGGAAGGCTGTTTAATATCTACTTTGGAATTCACAATAAGCAACAGAATTAAGATGCTACTGAAGAGGCTCAAAATTTTGACAACTCCATTAACAATTACAAAGATACGAGGAGCACGACCTAACAGACATACTTGTTTCAGGGAAGAAAGGGCAAAAGAGCTGGCCTGGGCTACTGGGGAAAGCAAACAAGGAGTAGTAATTCTCAAATCCTTTGTGATAAAGGACCAGTCTTAACCTCTACACTGTCAAACATACTTCTGTAAAATGTTTTTTAAATTACAAGAAAAATGAGCACATACTTCCGCCCCCGCCCTGCCGCCACACACATACCTTCCCCATCCCTGCAGTGGTAGGGATCGAACCTTGGGGCCTCAAGTATAATAGGCATAGTGGTGGTCTACCACTGAGCTACACCTTTAGCCCTTTTTATTTTTAGATAGGGTCTGGTTAAGTTGCCCAGACTGTCCTCCAAGTTGTGATGGTCCTGCCTCAGCTCTCTAAATAGCTGGGATCATAAGTATGCAACAGGGTGCCCAGCATGAATACATATATTTAATGTTTTAAGGTTTCTAGATACTCAGAATTGCTATAGTAGTCCCCAGAGAAATGGTGAATAGTCTTGTTTTTCAATATCAGTCTGGCCTAAAATCTTGAATCTGTGTGGAGGGTCTGACGTCAATTGAGTAAATTGGTATTTTTCTTCTTCACTACTCACACTGAAGACAGTCTGGAAGAAACACAGATAAAAGGTAGCATGGAGCTTTGTCATTAACTTGTTTTAATTTTAAAATGCAAAACACTGCACTATCACAATGCCTCACTAAATTTACATTATCCTCTTGAATGTAACTTCAGCATTTAAAAATATTAACTATCAATTCAAACACTGTTCTTTATTTTGCCATTTATCTTAGAAGAATACAGACACATGAAACTATATGAAAATAGTTACTTAAAACATATTCCTCTAAACTCCTTTACCTTTGTATCCATGTTCTCAAAATAGTTTAGTTGGTTGGTAACAGAATTGAGTCTAGAAAACTTTCCCACCTATTATTAGTTTCACTAACAAAGGAAGTGACTATGAAGTGGCCTATGAAGTGACTACAATCTGATGTAATCTATAATCTATAAGCCCACACTACTGAAAAATACAATGTGATTTAGAGTTTTTAGAACCTAATTTCCAGGATTAAAACACACTTTGCACCTGACAAAAGCTATAAAGATCTCAATGCTTCTGTTTCTTGATTCATAAAATGAGGAATTATCAGTACCTACATATCCAAGAATTTCTGTGCAGGTTAATGTGCATATAAAGTGACGGGAGCACATAAGTTTTGTAATTATTTAATTCTTACATATTATGTACCAAATCCTTTTGTAGAATTGGTATAATTAAGATTAAATCCATTAAATGTCACATCCCACAATGAACTACTATTTATCTGTTAAAGATTACTTCCATTTTCTATTATGAAATGTATCTATCTAAAACCTCCTATTGGACAGGGTAATGTAGTAAAGTTATGAAAAGCTGCAAGTCACTGTGATATTTAAGTGGCAATTGGCCAAAGTGATTCATAATAGTTTATCATCCCTCCCTGTTCTTGGGGAAAAGACTTAAAATAAAATTATGATTCTAAAACAGTTATAACAATCAAATGCTACAATTTTTTTAAAAAACTTAGAACTGTGTGATGTATTCTTCTTCTGTGGGGAAAAGCTTTTACTTCTTAAAATTGTACTTCATTTTAGGATTAAGGAAATGAGAACATTAACTTCTAATAGATGCACTACTCCAATCCCACTCACTGCCAACATACTACCATCATGGCCACTTAACAAAGTTCTTGAAATGCTCACAACTACATATATCAACACAGACAATGTCAGCTAAACCAATCACCCAAGCTTAAATAGCAGACATTAGGAACAGAATGTGGAGATTAAACACACAACATTCAATATTTCTATAATATGGAATAAGGAGTGTTTGTGACATTTAGAGTAGTCAAATGGCAATCAGTGGTAGCCTTTAAAATCTATTTGAAAATTCTACAATGAAACCAATGCTATTAATTCCATTTTATTTTATAAGGGTCTTTGTCAAGTTTATCAGTTTGAAAACGATCCATTCATAATCACCACTTAAAGACAAAATCTCCTATAGACTAATGATTTCCATTCTGCTACCTACAGTTCACCTTCTTTGTTCTATGATAGCCACACTTCATTTCACAGGATCTGAACTATACAATTATGTATCAGAGACAAAATATTTTTCAAGTTTGCTTTCAAATGATACCTACAAAGAAGAAATGAAGTTTTCAAGTTTACAGAAAAACCATACTACAACAATTGACCAATATAAATATCTTAATACTTATTTATTCTGTTCTATTGATAAGAATACTAATGCAAATGCCCCCACCTGTACTTTCCCTATGCTATCATTCTGACACTTAAGAATATCTCAACTTGCAACCAAGATTTACAACCACTGTTCCTATCAATCAAATGGTGATGCACCAAAATCCCAATTCTCATGAATTTTTACATATTGAAATTACATTATTTACTTAAGACTAAAGAACTGGGCCTTACTTTATAAAAAAACAAAGATAGCCACATCAGTTTCATCCATATATATGATACTACCTATTCAATTTATTAAAAATTATAATAAACATAATCAAACTAGTGCTCCAAACTTATGCTGTTCAAGTGGAAGACACTACAAGAGAAGACACAATAGAGACTGCCTTGCAATAAGAAGTACAAATTCCTTCTATAGAAATGGGAGAAATAAAAGGACAAATCTAGTTGTCTAAAAGACAATTCACTGTACACATTTTATTTACAGTTTTGTACACTGTCTTAATATGAATGGGACCGCTTTTCTACTTGAGCCATTTTTAACCAAAGCAAAATAACCTAAGTAATACAAAGTGTTAAAATACAGCATAAAGATACAAAAACAGACATACTAATTCTAGTTAGGAATGTAATTATGATGTTACATTTTTTTATAATCCACAATTATGTTTAGGAAATCACACAAACATAGATCACTGATTTGAATGAAATGCATAAATTTGTAGCAAAGTTTTGTAGTTACAAAAAACAAAAAAATTACCAAAGAATGCACAAAATTAATGTTTATTCCACCTTTGTGTCATATTCCTGGATCCTTCACCAATGTTACATGAGGAAAAACAAAAGCAAAACAAATGGAAAACTGAAATCAGAATCACTAATGTTATCAAGTAGGGAAACAAATAAATTAAAATCTAGCAGCCATCAGCAAGAGTACAGCAAAGATAATGCTGTCAAAAGAAACAAAGAAAATTGCTAGAAAACTGTATGCATCATACTCTTTCAAACCAGCAAAATATGCCCCTGCATACAATGGAACATAAACTCAATTTTTTTCCTATTAAAGTATAGAAACGCAAGTTCTTTTGAATATTGTGGGTGGGTAAAACTTGTTTGTAATGGTAATTCTACTAAGCTAATACAGAGTGGGCCAGGAACACATTTATGGATTCTGGGGATGATGTGGACTGTAATTCTTTGATTGGGATAGTGGACACTATAATAAAAATTAAAAAAAAAAAATGAACACAGAAGTACAAGACAAAGGCGAATGAGACTTCTCTTATATCTGAGTAACATTTAGATGGAATCAAATTTAAATGCAGTCCACTCTGCTTTTGAAGAGGCTTTGGTTCAGCTCCCAAATCTCGATTGCTTGACGCAGTCTCCTATGAGAATACTCAGAAGGTGTCTTCTTAAACAACAAACCTATTTTTAGTGGTGGAGCCGCTCTTAGTAGCTGTGTCTGCATGGGACTGATAACCAATCACTATCTTTGGAGGAAGTCCTAACCTTTCCTTGTATACTCTCCTAGAAGACAAAGAAGAAAGTGGCCATTTATTTTTATTCACCAAAACAAAATTAATTTTAAAAATTCATTATCAGTCTTAATATCTAAAAACACACTGAGTAAAATAGAAAAATTGCACACCTTTTTCCTTTTAGCTTGATTTACACTTTATATTTCCATAGCAATCTTAGTTAATCACTTAACAAATATCTAAGACCCAATCAGATATATATCAAGTACTGTAATAATTGTCACTAAACCAACAGTGAGCAAAGCAGGGTCAGTTCCTGGGCCCAAGGCATTTATAGTAGGTAGAGACAAGTAGGGAAAACACAATCAAATAATTATAAATACAAATGATGAAACTGTTATCACAGGCATACTTAACTTTCATACAACTAGGTAACATGCACATGTCTATTTCATTTTTTGACCTAAAATGTTACATTATACATATGAACACAGTTAATACTGTATACTACTATACCATTACATTTGCCATACCTAATACTGAAAAGATTAAAGAACAAAACTAAACATTTTGAGGGAAATTTATAATTTTCTCAGGATAAGTTAAAACATGCATAATTTCTGCCTTAAATATAACCCTAAAACCTTATTTTCAAGTAAGATGTTATTAGAGATGGGGTTATAGGCTCAGGGGTAGAAAACTTGACTTGCATGTAAAAGGTCCTGGATTCATCACTGGGGGAAGGTGGGGATATAAAAGAGGGACCTTGACCATTTGGTCCCAGAACATGTGACTACTGTAAAGAATAAAATGTGAATGAGTGCCAAATACCACTGTATCATACTGTATAAATCAGAGGATCTAATCTCATCTGCTATATTAAAGAAAGCTCCTTTTTAGAGTCATGAGAAAAAAAGAAAAAAAGGTGCACCTGAGGGCTGAGAACCAAAAATAAGGCTGTGCTGTTATGGATCACAAATGAATGTCAGGCTTGGCTAACAAAGACCCAGGGAAAGATCACAGAGAGTGTCATACATCAATATAGAAATCTAAACTTTTATTCTTAGAAAAAATAAAGCAAAAATATTTTAAAGAAGCAATAAAAATCAAATAAAAACAAGGGAATGTACACTTTTATGGAGCATCACCCAAAATGATACTTCACCATTCCGACTTTTTCATACTCCACCCCTGCTTCAGAAGCTTTTACTAACCTCCTCCAAATAGAGTATCTAAAAATACTTTTTTATAATAAGTGAAAATGACTACTAGATTAAAATTATGGCGTAATGCATTCCCTACAAATATAATTCCTCAATAAAAATGTCAAAACCCATAGTACTGACTCATACAAATTAGAAGGGTTAAAATATTTTTTCCTTAAAAAATTATCAAAATGTTTTAGATTTCAAAATTATTTAATGCTGACACAAATACAAAACTTTCATAAGAAAGAAACCTATATTTTTTAACTATTGTTTTCAAAGTAAAATGAAACTCCTAAACTGATGTTTTGATGCTGATGGAAAGATCTTAAATATGATAACAAATTGACGATAGAAGCAAGCCCCACATAGAATGAAACCTGAAAAAGGATTGGAAGGTATGTTCCTAGGAGAATTTATAATGTTTGAAAAATCACCAAATGAGCAATTCAAACATTTTGTGACCTATAACTACCTAGTACTTATTAACATAAAATTAAACCACAAATTTTACTAATTTAATACATTTACTAATGTAATTGTAATAAAAAAATCCTAACAATAATGTTTGAAAGTAAATGACAGACCATTTTTGCAAAAAACAAAATTTACCCCCCACCCCAAAAAAGAAAAATCTATACATGTGGATTTTAAATAGACAAAACTTAAAATGTTTATTTTTCAAGTAAAATTCTATGTGGTGTACATATATGTGGAAATTTCACTATCATGTGCCAATACTCACTGAATTATGATGGTTTATACATTTGTAGTTTTCCAAGTAGCACTTTTATTCCAAATAGCACTTTCCAAATTTGAGAAAAATACATTTTCATTACTTAGTAAGTGAATAAAGTACTGCAAGCTAAAGTAGAGTGCTCTAAGAATTACATACTAGATAAGAAAAAGCAACTTTACAGGATTAGAAAAAAATATTATATAAGTAAGACAATGAGCACCAACAGGAGTTCAAAATTATAAAAATTGTCATTAAAATAATACAAGGAAAAATAATGGTTTACAAACCCAAGTATTTCTAAACCACAAGTAAAAAGGTTTCGGTTACCTTAATATTGTCAAAGTAGTAAGCAAAGAGCAAAACCTTACCCTATATGTGTAACAGCCTCTCTGTTTTCACATTCAGTAGTCCATATTGCTATCTTATCACCTTTAGCTCTAACATTAACAACAGCTCCACATACATCATCACTGTAGTCATCAAAAGATTCTCCAATAAGGCACAGCAGCTTCAAAAACAACAACAAATCCCAAATTACATCCAATAGATTATAAACCACTTAATTAGATGGCAAATGTTTCCTTCTGTATTTGTATACATACAAATAATAAAATCAGCTTTTAAATGTCTAAATTTTACATATGCATATGATTATTTGGCTTGACTGGTTAAATATTTCAGTTGTTTTAATTTTTTCATCAAATTGGGCAACTGATGTCAGGGAACAGATAGTGATGTTATGTTGTTAATATTCATTTGCCTTGCTGCTGGTTATACTTGTTGGCAAACAAATGATTAATGAGATAATGTGAAATAGCTATTCATGGTTAGATTGCCATGTTGCTTTTTCATAAGAACATGATGACTTTTTTTTGGGGGGGGGAGATGATAAAACATAAAATTTATCATTTTAACCATTTTAAACACATAGTTCAGGGGCATTAAAAACATTTAACATTGGGCAACCATTATTACCATTCATCTCAAGAACTTTCTTCATTTTGCAAAACTGAAATGTCCTGACTTTTTAATAAGGAATTCTAAACTGTTATTTACTGATGACCTTTTCCAAAAGCAAAATCAACTCTATTCTTAAAAAACAAAACTAACAAACAAAAAAAAAAAACTCATTCAAATATTTAAGTGCTAACTACAGGGGCTGGGGTTGTGGCTCAGCAGTAGAGCACTCGCTGAGCACTGGGTTCGATCCTCAGCACCACATAAAAAATAAATAAAATAAGGGTTTTTGTGCCCAACTATAACTAAAAAAACATTTAAAAAAAAAAAAAGAGGTTACTGAAACTTTTTTAGGTTGAATGGTATTAATAATCTGTTTACTTCTAAAAGAAAATGTAGCACACATACAGCAATGCTATAAATGGGTTGCAAATCCATTAAAAATCTTATAAATTCCAAAGTTAATGAAATGACCAGGGTAATCTTATTATGGAAGGTGGGATTTTAATTCCAATCATTTTAATTAGACTTAGTATGGCAGAATATTTCACCATACTAGCACATAAGGTATACAGGATTCATATGATAAAACAATTATTAACTTTTAAGATTTTCTAATGTGGGCATCATTATTTCCTCTTAAACTAAGTAAACCAAAACAAAATGTAATGTAATATAACAGTCAGTATTCTAAAACTGCCTTGTAATTTTAAAACCTTACTGTCTCTAGCCAAAAACGATCGAGGTCACTTCGTCTCTGCTGTTTGTTCAATGTAATGAGCCATCTTCCGCCCCGTTTGTTTTTCTCATCTTCCCACATAGGCTCAATACCATCCTACAGGGGAAGAAAACAACATTATTAAACAATATTGTGACCTGGACTTTGAGGGAGATAACCACTATAATCAGCAAGTAAAATACTGTCAACTTCTTAAACTTTATTATGAACTGCTATGGGTCGAGTATTTATTTAAAAAAAAAAAAAGCAAAAAGGACTTTAAAAATATCAGGGGTGTGACTTTGTCACCTATTAGTTATCAAACCTTGTGCTTTCCTTAATTTGGAAATGCTTAAACTTTCTGCCTAGCAGACACCTTTTATCAGTTAACTACGTATCCTTCAACACCTAGAAAACACATGCAAAACTTATGCAATTTCAGAATTAATTAATGCTGCATCCTCCAACCATCTGACAAAGTCCATTTATAAATATTTCAAGAAACCCTGCAACCCCTGACAAGCTCAGTCTACTTAAATACAAAAAGGAGGAACTGGACTGGAGGGAAGAAAATAAAAATCAGAGCTTTCATCAAAATCAATCTCAGTATGCCCTTAGAGTAATGTTCTTAATTTCTAATTTTTATACCATAAATAGAGCAAAATATGCTGATGTTAAAAGCCAAGTAACACCAATTTAATTATTAGCCTGTGCATCACAGTAGAAACTATTCTACTGTGGAAAGTTTTCTTAATGAATACCTGAATGGTCTAGTCCTATAATAAATACATGAAATCATTGATTAGGCATACCTTAAAAAGTGAGTAGTCACAGCCAGGCATTAAATTACTAGACAACTGGATATGGTTGTATAGACTAGGCAAAAGAAAAGAACAATTAAAAATATAATACGTAATGAAAGGTTATGTGCTTGCATTATACACACTTAGAAACACGAAAACTTAACACAAAAAAGTTCACATGTATTTGTTTTTCTATGAAGTCGATTTCTGAAATGGACAGACAAAACAGATCTTAATGATACGTTCAAGAAACAATTTATAATACAAACTATTTTTAATAATTTTGACAAAACATTTTGGTACACTGGTTAACTCATACAAATAATTACAAACAAATGTATATATTAAAAACTGAAAATAAAGGCATAAGGTTGCTTAAGTAAATGATAGAACATGAGGGTAATGAACAGTTTTGTTTGTTCTCAAACACTAAAAAACAAATCATCACTAGACATCCAGGCAATTCAGGATTCTGAAACAGGAGGATCTCAGGCTCAAGGCCAGCCTGAAGAACTCAGTGAGACCCCTTCCTCAACAAATAAAACAGGCTAGGGGTATAATTTGGTGATAGAGTATCCCTGGATACTGGGGGGAAGGAAAGAGATCAAGAGAAAACATGAACCTGATCCTCAGGATTACATGACTTAAATAATCAACATCATTATCCTTAAAGTTTATCCAAAAGTAGAATGATTCCCCAAAACTATAAATTTTACTGGCTAGTTAGCAGAATGATTACTTGAAAACTTTTTTAAAAATATAATAGTTCTACGCTCTACCATCTGGAATTATAATCATTTACATATAGCAAGGAACTGATATTTCTAAACCATTTCCAAATACAAAGCTAGCAGAATAATATTTGCAATTGCTTAAACATTCACTTTCCTGATAGTAGATGGCTATATCATGTGATTCCTGTATTCTCTTACCGCAAAATTGTTTTTAAAAATTGGCAAAAGGGGGCCAGGATTGTGGCTCAGTGGTAGAGCGCTTGCCTAGCATGCATGAAGCATTGGGTTCGATCCCTGATACCACATAAAAAATAAAAAACAATAATAAATAAAATAAAGGACTGTGTCCATCTACAACTAAAAAAAAAATTTTTTTAAATTGGCAAGAGAATGCTTTGCCTATGTCAAACATTAGATGGCAGAAATTAATTAACCTCAGTCATATGCTACAGACTGTTATGCTTAGGTTCTCTTAGAACTAACTATTTAAACCTAGTATGGAAATATCTCAAAGAAGAGTTTTAAGAAAGAATTTGGCATCTTCTGATCAGATTACATAGGGTAAGACACCTATTATAATCCCAGTTTGGGTAAAAGAGCATGTTCCATAAGATTTGTGGGATCATTACCTAATGGTAACTTCCCAAACAATGTTATCAATGACAGCTTCAACTAGGCAACAAAAGAAACCTAATAATAACCATGATTCAGCATTAACACTACTAATTTCGTACAATAAGTGCTTAATATGAGAGCACATTTCTTCAATGGAATTTAAGGTGAAAAGCCTAGCTAATGCTATATTTGCCACTTCTTTTCTTATTCAGGTGCTCTAAGGTCTGTTTAGTTTATGAGAATTTATAATAGCACATTGAACAAAATATTGAGAATATACAGATTGAATCAAAACAAAAATACTCAAAGGTTGTTTTTAAGAAATTTATTAGAAAAAAGTAAGAAATTAAGAATTAATTTAGTCATTAAAGAAAGCTGAAGGATTCCTTCAAATTTCTAAATTATGGTATACAAATCCACTATGAAATGAAATTGCCTACACGTACTAAAACGTGTCAGGGCCTTGTGCTTGTATGACATGCACAAGGCCCTGACAATCCCTAGCCCCAAACAAAACAGAACAAAAAAATTGTTTAATATTAGAGAATCAGAATCCAAATTTTAAATTGTACTTTGGAGTTACGCACAAGTTTGATTCCAAATCAAAGCTTAACTAGAAACAAAATCTGAAAAACATTTCAATTTTTCTTAGTCTATCATAAATTATAATGAACTATCATCACAGATACTATCCTTTTCTTGACATTCCCTTGAATTTTTATCATTTCAGCCTGAGACTTCATAAGAAATTCCAGACATTATACTGAAAACAATTATAGAAATTGACACCAAACAGTGCTCTAGAGTCATGAGGGAGATTTATTTAGGCAACCACTAAAGGATACAAGTTTCAACTATTTGCCAAAAGTTTTGGGGCAATAAAGGATTTTGAAGGAAAGGATATTTCAGATCAAGGAATACAGAATATTCAGGCCTAGGATAATGGATAGAACCTTTCTAAAACTGATCAGGTATAATCACAAATTCAAACATTCATGAGGAGAAGACAAAAGTTCTTCAGACGAACGTTTGTTAACTTCACTCATCCCTCATCCTTCCTGTTGTGGATTCAACTTAAAAGAGAAAAAAAAATTACAAATATCCTAAAATAAATGTTTACTTACGCCCAAAAGTCTTCAACAGTATCAAACTTAGAGATCAGTCGAAGGTTTGCTTGCCAAGTTTTACTTTTATCATTTTTAAAAAACCAGAGTGCCCATCTAAAAATAAAAAGTCAGTGTCAAAAAACAGTCATTGTACACCCAAGTTGACATCAGGATTGTTCACAATAGTCAAAAGGTGAAAGCAACCTAAATGGCATCAACAGGTGAATGGATGAACAAAATGTTGTGCTGACATAAAATTATCATTAATGATATGATAAGGCAAATACTGTGATTCATCTTTAATGAAGTGCCTGGATTAGTCAAAATCAGAGACAGAGAATGGTGATTGTGATTGCCAGGGGCTACAGAAGTAGTAATAGAAAATTGTTGTTTAATGGGTCAGGGGTCAGCTATTATTTGTAAGATGATGATACTTCTGGAGATTAGTTATACAACAAGAATGTAAATGTATTTACCATTACTAAACTGTACCATATTAAGGCTAAATTTTATGTGTATTTTACCACAAATATTTTTAAAAATTGAATTGTAGTTGATATCCATTGGCAAATAATGAATACTTTTCTCTATTTTATTTAAAAAATATGCATTTTAGCTGGGGATGTAGTTCAGTAGTAGAGGATTGGCCTAGCATGTATGAAACCCAAGGTTCAATTCTGAACACCAGAGGGGGGAAAGGGGGCTTTTTTTGGGGGGGGGGTTGTACTATTTCAATAGATTCCCTGTAACATCTAAAGACCCTGAGGTTAATCTCTCAGGGGGATTTCATATAAATATGGCAGAGAAAATTACAGTGTGCAAAGAACTATATGGTAAGAGATAAATAAGCACAAGGAAAAAATAGACTAGACACATACTTAGCCATAAAGGAAGGTTAGAAACAAGAAGGCTGAATTTTGAGAGGAACAAATAGCTATCAGACAAAGAGGAAGAAATGGGAGTGTTAGGAATAGGAAAAACTATTAAATTTGATTCTACATTTATTGAAACATACAACTGGGAACACAAATGGATTAAGTAATACTGCAAAGATATGTTCAGAAACAATGTTAACCAGTTTCTATATAACTGTATATACTTCCATTTAAAAGTTTTATTCCTAAATAATTATAATAGTACACACACACCTAATATTACATATACTAATTTCTCCTATACTGATAATAAACACAGTAACATTACAATAAAATGTATCATCCCAAGATGATTCACCTTTAGAAGAACTGAATTTCAATATTCTCTGAAATGTAATACAGTAAGCCCTTGGTATCCAGGGTTCAGCATCCTCAGATAGAAAATACTCAGCTTAAAAAAAAAAAAAAAACTTTTGCCCATATTGAACATATAAAAAAATCATTCCCTAAGTACAGCACAACAACTATTAACATAATAGGTATTATAAATATAGGAGGCTGTGCAAAGGTCAAATGCAAACACTACACCATTTTATATTAACTTGAACATCATTTGGGGTTCCACAACCAGAGGGAGGACTGTAACAAAGGTAAGTAAAAGAGAAATTCCATGTTTTCATCAATATAAATGATATCTGAAGGGCTTTCCAAATTATATATTTTATAGTTCCATGATTGATGCCTAGTACCCCAGTTAGACACAAAAATGAGATGCATATGAACATGTGCTTGAATAATTTGTATGTATTTGACCATCACTATTAAAGGGGAAAAAAAAGGCAGAACAACTATCACAAAATTTGCAAAATAAAGTACGATATTCTAAATTTAAAACAATAATATGGTCTCTTTTAAAAGGAAAACTGTGCTTAGCCTTTAAACATAAAGGTTTATAAAATAACTGGGAGCTGGGTCCCGTGGAGCATGCCTATTATCCCAGTGGCTTAGGAGGCAGGAGGATGGAAAGTTCAAAGCCAGTCTCAGCAAAAGCGAGGTGCTAAGCAACTCAGTGAGACCCTGTCTCTAAATAAAACAGAAAACAGGGCTGAGGATGTGGCTCAGTGGTCAAGTGCTCCTGATTTCAATCCCCCCCCCCGTACCCGCACCCCCCAAAAAAGGAAAGAAAATAACTGGGTTACTAGACAAAAATGTTTGTACAAGAATTTTTTAATTTTAAGACTCTTAAAGTGTGGTTTGCAGACCCCAGGGGACCCTTTTTCATATATAATTCTAAGACACTATTTATCATTCACTATTGACAATGTGCACTAATGGTACAAAAAGGATAAATCTGCTGAGGCCTTAGCAAGAGACAGAGACACCAAACTATACTAATAGTCCCTGTATCCTTTATCAATTCTGCCAGGTTCATTTAAAAATGTCTTTGACAAAACAATAAAAATTATGTTCTTGTTGAATTTTTATTTGTTTTCATATTATGCATGTAAAGTACTTCTACAAGGCACAACAAAATATGACACTTAGACAATTATTTGATTTGTGAGGGGAACTAGCCACTTATATCATATTTACTTGAACAAAATAACTGATAAGCCATGGTTATTGCTTAGGAAATTTGAATAGAGTCTGTGACTTAAAATTTGAGCTTGTAGGACAAAAATTTTAATTTTGGAAAGCTTTCATTTGACACTGTAAGCTGACAATTCCTAAAAATTAAAGACTTTTTTGATGAGCTCAGAGGTATGGTAATGAATTATTATTTCAAATTTCTACACAATGAAATGTGTTGACATTCACAGTATCTACTCGCTGAATCAATTATTTCCCAAATGATTAATGTATGATCACACATAGGTAAAATACCCACACCAAATGCAAGGAAGACCATGGATTTTTAACATAACATTGTAGGAAAAGTTCTTGAATATGGTTTCAGATTCTACACTGCAAGTAATCTATAATAAATCTAGTATTGGGGGAAATATCCATAATTATCTTAGAAGGCTACTTAAAATTCTTCTCCCTTTTCTAGCAAGGTAGTAGTGTGAGACCACATTTTCTTCTTATACTTACATTGAAACAACTAATCTTCACAGATCAAATGCAAAAGCAGCTATGAAAATCCAGCTGACTTCTAGTAAGTTATGTTTTTCATTAAATAGATTGCAAAATGCTACTTTTCCTTTGTGTTTTTGTTTCAAAAACAAGATATTTATAAGAAGTAAATAAAGAGAAAAACTACCAAAATTTAAACCATAAGGCATCATTTTTCTTAAAAATGATATCTGCTCTTTTACACAAAAAGTAGATTTTAGAGAAACTAAAATCTCCAGAGTCTTCATTTTTAGGATTTCATACATTTGTTTACTAGTAACACTTCAGGAATCTCAGAATTCTTTCAAGCTGGAGGAAATACGTACCTTGATTACTTCTTTTCACAATAACACTACTAAGAATTGTGCTAACAACTTGAATGAATATACAGAGATACCACTGAAAATAGTGAGAAAAAAAATTCTGGAGCTACTGTCACACTGAATTAAATGAAACTGCGGTTCAACTTATTACTTGGGCAGAATGCCTCCCTAAGAAAGGATTTTACCCTTCCAGAATTATTTGACTTTTGAAGTTTCACTATCTGATAATCCCCATTTTCTAGTAAAACTGATGTGTTCCTCACTGAAGGAGACACTGAACCACAGGTGTCCTGTGAGAACACTTCATAAAGTATGTTTGGATTATTGCTTTAAAAAGTTTCCCGTGATAATGAAAGACTAAAAAACATACAAAGACTATAAAGAGGTGCTGGGGCTGGGGCTCAGTGGTAGAGCACTTGCCTAGCACATATGTAGCACTGGGTTAAATTCTCAGCACCACATAAAAAAAATAATTAAATAAAGTCATTGTGTATCCATTTACAACTAAAAGAAAATATTTTAAAAAGACTGTAGGGGCTGGGATTGTGGATCAGCGGTAGAACGCTCGCCTAGCATGCACGGGACCCGGGTTCGATCCTCAGCACCACATAAAAATAAAGGCATTGTGTTGTGTCCATCTACACCTAAAAAAATAAATATTTAAAAAATAAAATAAAAAAGAATGTAAAGGGAAAATATTCTTTTAGCTAAAGGAAACTTAATTATAATAGGCCTCTTTCAAGTAATCATAATAAGATCTGCCCCCCAAAAAATAAGAAAAAATAAAAACAACAGGAATTGAAATAAAACTTTTAAGATCCTCAATTAATCCCACCCAACTTTTCCTCTAGGTTCTTAAGTTGCCACCATTTCTGAGTTGCCACCATCAGCGAAATCAAGTTAATTTTCATTACACAATCCAGAAAAACAATCAGAAAAACAGAAACAGTATTAGTGAGAAGGAGTGGGTAGTTGTGGAAAACTACACATAATGAACGTTGACTTCCTACTATACTGTTAACTATGAAAACATCCTCATCTCCCCCCTTCTCCTTTCCTAACTTGTCTCTTAAATACAACCAACTCTAGTCTGTCTACACCTTGTACCTCTCCTTTTTCATTCCAACTTTGAGTTACCTGTGCTTGCTTTACATATTTGTATATGCCTTATTCACTCTTCAAACTGCCCCAATTTGTATCATCTACACTGTAAAAAAAAAAAAAACTTTCCCCCTTTAAAAAAAAATGACTTATTTATTCATTTTTTTAATAATAGCTATGTGAACCTTTCTTTATTTGACCTTTTAGGTACATATGGTATCCTAAAAACAAACTATTTTGTTTCCATGATCCTCCACTCCCACAGTCTAGTCTACATCCTTCACAGGAACTGTCCCTCAACACAAACCCTCTATTTGTTGATATCTCAGACATTTATCTTGAGTCAAGTTCACTTCTCCTTAAGAGAATTAATTACTATTATAGCTTCAATTACAACCAATACAGATGAATTTCAAACCAAACTCTAATCTAGTTCTGAGCTCAAGATTCACACACAAAACTGCCTGATGTTCATGAGTCATCCAAATGAAAACAAAAGCCTCAACCTGAGCATACAAAAACTAGTCTCATCTAATTTTCCCCTTCAAACCTAACCTCTTCACCATTTTCCTTACTAAGTCAGAAAACCTAGGTGTGTGAGAAAGCTTACCTGTTCTGTAGAGGATGTTTTATATAGTGTTCTGGGTTAGCAACCTCCTGATTAGATTCTGTTTTCTCCTCTTCTGTAGGCGGGGGATTAGGAGTAGGGGTGGTTTCCTAATGGAAACAATATAAAACATTATTCTAATTAAACTTGAGCCAATGATGTCATTTTTAAGGAGAAGGAATCAGAAAAAATAATTTCATAGAACAGATCAAAAACCAACCTCTAATAACCAGACTCTTCTTCCTTCCAGTCTCTTCATTAAGCGAAAGTTTCTCAAATTTTAAATTATAATTTTTATGAAATACGCAGTATCCACCTACTTGTCCATTTTTTAAATATCAAGATTAAGCAACAAAATTAGGAGAATCAACTATTTTCTTAACATGTCATATTATTGTATATGTTATTATTATTGGGGGTAGACGAAGGACTAAAACTAAGTTTTGGAGAGTATAACAACTATAAAGCAATGGCAAAAAAAGGCTTTGTAAAGTGATCCAGCCAATGATACAGAGGTCCTTGCCTTTACGTCATACTGTTTACCTACTCTGTAACTTCAAAGTTTAGCAACTTGACATTTTCAATAATCAATATGCAAAAAAAGAAAGTGGCTTCTTTTAGGTTAGACAAAATGAATACTGTCACCTAAAAATATCAGAAAGAAAAGGAACCTGAGGACAACTTAAGTATTCACCACATTCCTCCTATTATTATTGATGCTAGTGTAAACTGATCAAGAAAACATAAAGGAAAGACACCAGAAGCTGAAACAAAGACACCAGAAGCTGAAACAAAAGTTGCAGAGTACAGAGATAGGGCTACAACAGTGTTTGGGTATCAGATTTTGAGTTGTTTTGGTGATTCCGGACATCAAACCCAGGGCCTTGTGCATGCTAGGCAAGCTGCTCTGAGTTTTTACTGTTAGGGTGGGTATCAGATTTAAACTGAACTAACAAAACAAAGTCAGAGCAGATATGCTCTAAAAGATCTCAAACCAGATAGGTGCTTAATACTTGTTTTAAAGAATGCATTTTTTTCTTATCAACTTAGGATATGTACAGCAACTTCATTCTACTACCCTGTAAAGTTACTCAGATCATGGGCTATGTCTTGATTTTGCTCATAATTATATTGTTAATGACCACAGTGTTCAAACTCAACAGGAACTATGAGCTCTTAAAACTGAATAAATTCAAGCCAGGCGCAGTGACTCACACCTGTAATCCCAGTGGCTCAGAAGGCTAAGGCAGGAGAATCACAATTTCAAAGCCAGCCTCAGCAAAAGCAACTAAGTGAGACCCTGTCTCTAAAACAAACAAACAAACAACAGCAAAAAAAAAACAAATAGGGGGCTGGGGATGTGGCTCAAGCAGTAGCGGCCTGGGTTTGATCCTCAGCTCTACATACAAACAAAGATGTTGTGTCCGCCGAAAACTAAAAAATAAATATTAAAAAAAAAAAATAGGGCTGGAGATGTGGCTCAGTGGTCCAGCGCCCATGTTCAATCCCTGGTTACCCACCTCCACCAAAAAAAGAGAAAAAAAGGAATTAAAATATTTACATAAAAAGATTCAAAATTTACATGCCATTAGGAGTGCAGTTTAAGCTTTATTAATAAGTATCTAGTAATCAGCCAGACATTACTAGACAAAGAATTTTTAAAAGACAACTAAAGATCATCCCTAAAAGACATCCAAAGATGACATCCACAGAGACTTAGTAACGACGATTAATATGGTAAAACAGAAGATGGGGGATGGGGATGAAATTAAGAGTTATTTGAAAAGGGAATTGAATCTATTTTTTAAAAGAATCAAGAGTTGTGGCTCGAGTTGTGGCTCAGTGGCAGAGCACTTGCTTAGCATGTGTGAGGCACTGGGTTTGATCCTCAGCATCACATAAAAGTAAACAAAATAAAGGTATGCTGTCCATCTACAATTACAAATTTTTTTTTTAATGAAGACATCAAAACATAGTTTTGAACAGACAAGACTCTACCACATCCTCTCACCCACCCACTCAATGGGCCACTCCCAATGGATTCCAAGTGAAATGAATATCAAAGGCAGTCTTCAGCCTATAAGCAATAGGATCCCAGATGGAATTTTGGAGATGTCAAAAAGAATAACATATCAAAAAAGGTTAAGTATTTGGGTAAATGCAGGAAGGATCACCAGTGTAAAAGAGCAATAATACTGTCACGTGGGTTTAAAACAATGATGAAAACAATGATGATCCCACCAAAGGGTTTGTAAGGTTGGGTATGCCAGCAAAATATATCCTTCTTCCAAAAGTACAGTACAGATTGAATAAGTAGCCTTTATCCAAAATGCCTGGGACCAGGAGTGTTTCAGATTTAAATTTTTTTCAGAATGAGATGTCTTAGGGATGGGACCTCAATCTTAACTGGGAAATTTGTTTCAAACATACCATATAAACACAATTTGAAGGTAATTTTATATAACATTTTAAATAATTTGTACAATAAATTTTTATATTGAAGTTGAAGGAGTTGGAACAGAATTTCTTCCCTTGGTGACATTGAAGAAATCAAGAGTTGTGCACCTGTGTTTTAATGGCAACCTGTCACATAAGGGCAGGTTTTTCCTCTTGGGCTCAAAAATTTTCAGATTTTGGAGGCTCAACCCGTAGTTGTATCCTCATTATAAGCCACATTTTCACAACTTTTATTTAAACCTTTTACCTCAGCAGCATTAAAAAATGAAGCAAATGAGGAATTACAAGTTTCACAGGGTCCAAAATATCATCTTCTAACTCATTTAATGCTTTCCTTCCATTATTCTTCTTTTCACTATTAGAATAATGGAAGACTAAGATAATAATCAAATCTATGAATATATAGAAAGAAAAACTAAGTAATCAGGAGAAAATATGCTCATTTCCTAGAATTTAGAAAGTGTTCTTTTAATTTTAAAAGTCTTGCTTTAAATAATTGACGTAGTTTTTTTTAATCCATTTGATGCAGCTTTGAAGAACATAAAAAATTTGTACCTTTCCTAAGTTAACTATAGTAAAATTAGCTACCCACTTTTAAGTACGTGTGGAAATATGAAACAATAAATATACTAATTTAAAATCTTCTGATCATCACTTTTAATAGCAATTATCTTAATATGTAATATTAAAATAATTGTCTTGGGGCTGGGGTTGTGGCTCAGTGGTAGAGCGCTCGCCTAGCATGCGTGAAGCACTGGGTTCAATCCTTAGCATCACATTAAAAGATATAAATAAAAAATAAAGATATTGTCTCCATCTACAACTAAAAATATATTTAAAAAAATAATTCTTAATTTAATAAGACAATATAGCTTAACATGCAATGTTAAGCTAAATGCTTTGAAAAACCATAAAATATTTTTTCTTATTATAAAAACTTTTAATTTTGAATCAAATAACCAAGCTGTTTTTCCTTTCTTAAAATATTTAACTTCGAGGGGCTGGGATTGTGGCTCAGCAGTAGAGTGCTTTCCTAGCATGGGCGGGACCCAGGTTCAATCCTCAGCACTACATAAAAATAAAGGCATTATGTTGTGTCCATCTACACCTAAAAAATAAATTTAAATAAATAAATGTTTTTTTTAAAAAAATATTTACGTTAGATAAAAATAAAACAAAATATCCATATTAGATATTTAAAACTTTCAGTCTGATTCTATGGGGATGGTTCAAATTCTATGAGGAAGTCTTATACTGTTTCAATTTTTGTCATTAGAAATTAATAAATGATATCCAAAACAATGTCACTCTGTATTAAATTCTTTATTCAAAAAATGGTTAACAATTATGGAAATATGCCTAATCAGAACAAAGATATGTATTTTGTTTTTAAAAGAATCAGAACAAAAAATGCTTTTAGGTCATTCCTCAGTTAAACATAAATATTAATCAAATGTAACAAATCCTCCAATTTGTTCATTATTTATTTTAATTTGTTAAGCACATTTAATATAAACTGTATATAAAAATAAAATTTAGATATTTTGAAGTTAGACCTCCTATTAAGATTCTCTAATTAATTCAAATGAGGCATGGGATTTTGGATAAATGGTAAACTAAGTAGCCAGGTTATAGGACAAGTGTACCACACCAAGGAAATTCTCTCTGAAACTTTGTAAGGTTTCATGGGATGAATTTTTAAAACTGTTCCAATCACTTTAAAAAAAAAAAAAAAAATCTGCTCGCCGCCATCCCCAGAATTGGGGAATGAACACAGGGGACCCACCACTGAGTTATGTCTCCACCCTATTTTATTTGAGATCATCTTGCTAAATTTCCCTTCAACTCAGCAATCCTCCTACCTGGGATTACAGGCATGTACCAGTTCAATCATATATTTTTTAAATATTGAAGACAGGAAGTACAGATGATCACGTGGGTATGTATGGAAACTAAGAAACACTTCAAAGAACAATTCTCTAAGAGATACAAACTTGTTTTCAAGGTTGCTTCCTATATAGCACAAATAGTAAAATAGTTTTAAATTTACATTCAATTTTAAAACAAAACTCTCTAATGAAAAGTCTCACCACATCCCTCTCCCTATTATTTAAGGCTGGTGGTATACCAATTAGAAAATTTCATGAGAAATTTTGTCTTAACATCCATATTTTCAAATGACCTGGACAAAAAGTAAAGGTTAATTTAATAATTGACTACTTTCAAAGTAATCAATCACATTTTTAACTTGAAAGACAACCTCCCCTTGAAAAGCCATTGTATAATGGGTAGAATAGGGAGCAAGTGGTGCTATGTTTATCTAGAAGATGGTAACCAGTATACCTCAAAGACAGGGTTCGTGAAACCAAAGATATAGCTAGAATGGTAAGTTGGAGTGAGATTTTGATAGGCGCCTCAAAGGTCAGGCAGTATAAGTCATTAACTGGAAGGTAAAAGAGATTTAATATAGATGGCAAGTAAGGAAATAGAAAAAGACAACCAGTTTATATACAAAGTATTAAGACTGATTTTAGATTTGCTGCATTTGTTGAGGTTCAAATAAAAATGTTCAGTATTATAATTTAGCAACTTCAGCTCAGTAGGTGGTCTTAGCAACAGAAGTTGACAGGGGAAGAAAAAAAATCAAGCAAGA